TACTTTGCAAAAAAATTTTCATGATCTAAATTTCCCTATTTTGAAATAATGCTTGACGGCATAAACGCTAAGCTGGAGCTAAGAAAACTCGAACGCACTTATTAATCTATCATTACTACTAGTTAACTAATTCAACTGAAGCTGAAAATTTACAGAGGCTAGCTGGTATGGAATATCCTCGGATGGCAGCAATCATTATATTGAAAAAAATTCTAATAACATGCAAGTATTTTGTATGAAACTGGATACCTGTAGAGTCTGCACTGTCAAATACCTCCTGAGATAGAAGTGATCCTTTATGAACAAATCAGTTCTACTCAAGCATAAGTAAATTGAAACTGAATATTTTCAGAGACTGCAGGTAAGGAACATTTAAAGCAGGTATTGTCCTTAACCCCTAAAAATGCTAATGAAAATGCTAGGAAAAAGACCTGAATTGTTACTTACATATGGTAAGGCCCAGTTTACACACACACTTTGCAAACATAGTAACCAGTTTATCATCGGCACACACAAGTTGTAATAAAATAGCAGGGTCTAATTACTTGCTTGTGGATATGCTTGTATAGCGACTTAAGGGATATACTAAGACAGTGCCTTTGCTGGAATATTCACTATGACTCCTGGATAGGAGGTCCAAGTCGGTCATGTTCAATAATTGCTTAAAGGGAACTATGAATGAGATCATCCTTGCCACTAGCTTAGCCAAAAAGATTTCCAAATTTGTTGCTTCATCTAAACGACTTGTATTTGACAACGAGAATTTGGAAATCTTAAATTGCGGTTAAATCAAACATCTTTACCTCCTTTGTGCGGAAAGAGACTAACATAGTGAACCTCAGCCACATGACCTAGCACAAGCCGTTTGCTACCAGTAACATCAAACTCTTCGCAAATAATTACGTCACTGTCATGCCCCAGACTACTGATCACGTGGACGCACATTTCATAGCAGTTTGCCGCACCGTGGAGAATCACATGATCACCCCATGTACCATCTGCCATCATGCTTGTGAGGTAGGCATCCCAAGATGGATATCTATGAACAAAGTGGAAAAGTTCTGTCCCATCTCGCTGTACGAGAGAAAAAATACTTCAGTTACTAGAAAGAAGGAAAAATGCATTAGCAGACCATACTCACTTACGAAGCTGTTAGTTTTCTCTAAGACAGACGCCGTTTGTACATACACTGGAAGAGTGGGGTCTGCCTTCTAAAGGGGTCAAAAATAATGACTGTAGGAACAACCCCTCGATGTTCCCAAATGATACCCGACCACAAATGATCCTCAACCGTAAATGATCACAATTGTCGACCGCAAATGATCCCGTGAAAAGCAGACGAATGAAGTGGAATGGATTTAAGGCATGGATGGTGGATGGTGCTGAGAACTTAAACAGCGCAAAAAAAGAAAAAAAATGAATGAAACGATAAATAACATTATTTGTTCTTTTGGCAATTTTTCTCCATTTCTTCAAGCATCGCTGTTTTCCTACAGTGAAAATTTATTGAAACTTGTCTTTTACTTTACTTCATTTCTTCCATTTTAATACTTTTTGTTGCGATAACAAACTTGACACGAATATCCAGTTACTTGAGTCCAAGCCATTCTAGTGTTCCTTTCGGAATCGTTTGCGGTTGACAATGACCACTTTAATATGCTTTCTTCACGTTTAATACTTGATTTCCTCAGGCTACAACGAAACGCTCTTTCGGTCTTCCCGTCAGTCTCGTCACTAGTCCTTACTTTATTTTAAGAAAAACAATTAAGATACTTACCATCTTGGGATTTTCCTTAAGGTATTGAACAACACGTTGGCGTAACTCTTGATGCGAGATTTTAATTCCTTTGGCCTGGTCAAGCTGTTCTGAGAGTGCAATAAACATACAGTTTCCACCTCCTTCATTTTCGGAAATCGTAAAGCCCTTTTCGTGAGCAATGGTCTCTAAATTCGACTGCAGCTTTGTTGTCCACTGTATTGTTTCCCGCTCGATTTGTCGAAGTGCATCGAAGGCGCGTCCACCTGTAATTATTGCAAACAGAAATTACTCTATTTGATACTCTGTAAGGTTTGGTGCTTCAAAATATCAGAGAGGGTAACTCTATCGTCAGATTCATAGAGGTGACAAAAAAATAACTTTATAATTAGACAAGTGGTGAGAAAACAGGTTACTTTTCAGGATCGCAAGAAAGAAAATACACCAAAATTTCCTAGCATCGAAAAATGATATAAAGCAGCCTTCTGACGCTACTTAAGATTAACGTGAGTTATTTAGAACTTTTCTATTAAACATTTTATCACGGCTATTGAAATATAAGGTTTGAAATATATTTTCGTTTCATTTGAATTCAAACATACAGAATTTTTTACTCCTCACAGAGGTTATTTGCTAAACACCACACTTAAAGTTCCTGGTGTTGGATTTTCAGTAGCAGGTCTAGATCGCGCAAAATTCGGATTCTATCGATTTCAAAGTTTTTTGTTTATTGTTGTCATAGTGATATCGATTTTAGTAAACTACATTTTGACAACCTTCAGTTCATAGTCAATCACTGGTGAAAATTTTGTAGCGATCGGACAAGGATAAAATCTTTTTTAAGGTGATTGAAAAACATCGGTATGGTCCTCCAGAAACTGTATCGAAATACCTTAATCAATAACCGTCTTACTCCACGTCGGGGTAAATATGAGCATACACTACTCTCTATATACATGTAGCTCGTTTTGTCGGACCGCTACGTGCCATTTATATTATTACGTCTTTTATCGAGTACTAGCCAAATACCAGGTTTCTTGTTGTTAATAGTTAAACTGGATATGCTGTATACCTCACTTTCAAAAAAAGGTTAAAATCAAGTTGTTCAAGTCAACCGTGTTTTGAAGAAATCCAAGTTTTGACAGGATATGAATAAATAAGCGTTGTTGCTGTTAAATTGACCAAGCTGTTTAACATAAAAAAGGAAACGACCTGAAGAACAGAAAAAAAGCCCCAGAGTGGATTCAAGTCTCATCTTAAAATTAATGCCCTTTGTTTCAAAAAAGGTCACAAGAAGAGGGGTAAAATGTTTATGCACGGTACTATACTCAGAAAGGCGATGACTCTGTAGTTTTTTTATAGGCCTGTTGCTTTCTTCAGTGCCAGTAAAACAACTAAAGACGCTGTGGGAGCGTATATTTGGGCGTCGATGCAATACGCATGTGTGAGATTTTTTATGTGTGTGAAAGGTTTGAACCCAGGAGTCATTACAAAAGTAGGTTGAGTTTGATCGTCCAGGTGAGCGTAGTCCTGAATAGGACTGTTGTTGTTGACAGTGGCTGACGTTTCGACAACCTGTGTGGTAGTCATCTTCTTCAGTCTCGTAATCAGTAATTGGTGCGTTTCGATCCGTCTGTTGTCACAGTTAAACAGTCGTCTATTGTTAGTCAAATTGTCAGTTCTCCAGTCGTTCTCTCGTAGTTAGTTTTGCTTGATCGCGTCAATAAGTCGTTTGTACGGCGCTGGTAACTGTTGGCTACGATTCAGTGGCGTTTGTTTTAAGTTAGTAAACCAGCTTTCTAAAGTACGACGTTGATAGTAGTCTGTAGAATACGTTATACATGTCGCAGAGTCCCAGTCAAGTTGATGTTTCGTCTGTAAATGGTGCTCAGCAATGTGATTGTTGACGTCATCATTCCTCGTTGCTCGCTTGTGTTCGGTCAGTCGCGTGCTTAGGTTTCTGCCGCTTTCACCAATGTAAGAAGCCTGGCAGTCGCAGCATTTGATCTTGTACACTGCTCCCTGTCTGTCCTCCGGTTTGTCTTTGTCCTTGACATTAGTAAGCAGTCGCCGTAAAGTGGTTATCGGTTTGTGTGCAACACATATATTGTAAGGTTGTAATATACGCATAATAGTTTCACAGGTGCCTCTGAAACTATTACAGGCTGTCAGGTGAGTCGCAAACTAGTTGCGCTCGTCTAGTCAGAGTCCGGATAGTAGTAGCCTTATGAGAGGTCGGATTGTACGAAGAATCGAATCCAATCGACCAAGGATAACGTCAGAAGTAGAGTGACCTCTACGTTACAATCAGCCTCATTACGGAACAGTAACTTGACTCCTGACGGACAGAAAGTACTTAAACGACTGAAAACAGACGAGAACATAGTCATACTGACCGCAGACAAGGGACGGGCGACTGTTGTTATGGACAAGACAGACTACAACGGCAAAATGGACTCGCTTGTTAACTACAAACAGACCTACGAAGTACTTAAACGAGACCCGACACCCGCACTGCAATGCAAACTTAACAACAAACTGCTTACACTGAAGAAAACCGACATGATCGACGCTACAACAGACTGAGGTCTGGTCCAGAGGACAATGAGCTGGTTGACGGCAGTTTCAAGCCTTAGGTGGTACGGCGCTTGTTTTCTGTAGGGTGGATTTGTTGTGGCCATCAATTTTTTTCTTTAGATTCGGCATGCAGCTGTAACTGATCTTAACTGTGTTCCGGTTGAAGAATTCCCGAAGGGCCATGCGCTGCATAAAATCTTCAACCGGAACACAGTTAAGATCAGTTACAGCTGCATACCGAATCTAAAGCAAAAAGTTGATGGCCACAACAAATCCACCTTACGGAAAACGAACGCCGTACCACCTAAAGCTTGAAACTGCCGTCAACCAGCTCATTGCCCTCTGGACGGTAATTGCTTAAAATCAGCCGTGATCTACCAAGCCACAGTGGCAACGAAGGACAACAGGACAGCCGAGACCTATGTAGGCCTTACTGAGAACTTTTTTAAGACCAGATACTGGAACCATAAGTCTTCTTTCAGAGACCCAAACAAGAGACTCAGTACGGAACTCAGTAAGCACATCTGGCACTTGAAAGACGCTAAGATTGGATTTAGCTTAACTTGGAAGATCTTAAAGCAAGCCGCGCCATTTAATCCCGCTTCAAATCGCTGTAATTTGTGCCTCTGGGAATAAAATATTTCATCATTTGCAGAGCCGATCTGGCGAGCTTGAACAAACGAAATGAACTTGTAACTTCCTGCAGGCACGCGCGTAAATTCCTTCTTAGCAGCTTTACATCTTCCGTTGGCACGCAATAGTTTTTATTCAAATTCTGCGCGCGCGTTTTTAGTCCTAGCGTATGTTGTAACGAACTTTTTGTTGGCAATTTTATCTGAGGAGTGCCGTACATGCCGTGCGGTTCGAAACTAAGTAGTAATAAAAATGCCAAGTCTAATCTCCAGTTGACACCAGACAACCTTGATTATACTACGCTCTAGTCCTTCTATTGAGTGCTCTGCCGATAGCCGTGCATATGCATCAACTGGTATATAATTATATATATATATATTATAAATTAATATTTTAAACAGTTTCTAAGAATTAGTCCAAAAGTAGGTTGAGTTTGATCGTCCGGGTGAGCGTAGTCCTGAATAGACTGTTGTTGTTGACAGTGACTGGCGTTTCGACAACCTGTGCGGTGGTCATCTTCAGAGTCAAAGTGAGTTGTATCACGTCATTTGATGGTATTATACTCTGGTTATTGATCTGATTGGTCAATTAAGTCGCGATGTTATTGGTCGTCTGTCAGTTAAGCCGTGATGTTATTAGCCATGAAGACTACCAAAACTGTATGGACTACCAAAAGTACACAAACCCAACATACCTATGCGGCCCATAGTTTCTTTCTGTGGGTCCCCAAACTATATACCAACTGTCTAAATACTTAACTAACGTATTCAAACCACTGACTGACGAATCTAGACACAAACTACAGTCTACTGAGAACTTTATTGACGCCATTAAGACAATACAGATACCGGAAGACCACAAACTAGTGTCCTTTGACGTGAAATCCACTTCAACTGGCTCTAGACTGTACTGAGAACGCTATTAAGAACTCTACTGTTGAACTACCTCTACCTACAGACAACATTATGGACCTACTCAACCTCTGTTTGACTTCGACGTACTTTCAGTACAACGGCAAACACTACAAACAGGTACACGGTACAGTTATGGGCTCTCCAGTTTCTGTCGTTGTAGCAGAAATTGTCATGCAAAACATCGAGGAACAAGCCCTAGCTACCTACACGCGAACTGTACCTCTTTGGTTACGTTACGTTGACGACACATTCACTAATGTCAAGGACAAAGACAAACCGGAGGACAGACAGGGAGCAGTATACAAGATCAAATGCTGCGACTGCCAGGCTTCTTACATTGGTGAAAGCGGCAGAAACCTAAGCACGCGACTGACCGAACACAAACGAGCGACGAAGAATGGTGACGTCAACAATCACATTGCTGAGCACCATTTACAGACGAAACATCAAATTGACTGGGACTCTGCGACATGTATAACGTATTCTACAGACTACTATGAACGTCTTACTTTAGAAAGCTGGTTTACTAACTTAGAACAAACGCCACTGAATCGTAGCCAACAGTTACCAGCGCCGTACAAACGACTTATTGACGAGATCAAGCAACATGAACTAACTACGAGAGAATGACAATTTGACTACAATAACAATAACATTTATTATTTGTATTGCGCCTTTTCTATAAAATATTCAAAAGCGCATCACAACAGTAACTAATAACTAAAAAATTTTACAAATCTTTCTAAAAAAAAATCATAAAAATATTTACATAAAATGAGTAAAAGATAATTACAAATAAAGATATAGATAAACTAAGATAACTGAAATGATTCCTTAAATAAAAATGTCTTAATGGACCTGCATTGATAGCAGTTTTTTTTCTTAAAACTGAAGCAGCAATCCTGCATAAATATGTTTAAATTATTATTATTATTAATTAAAGTCTTAAAAGATTCTAAATTCGTTGTTTCGCGCGCGGACCTTGGCAGCTTATTCCACAGGAAAGGAGCAGCTACCTGGAAAGCTCTGTCTCCCAATGTTTTCTTGGTTTTCACACTTGGTCTTTCCAACAAACGACCATTGTCGTTGCGCCTCAAATGGTAGGACGAAGGCTGTTGAATACTAATTAAATCTGAAAGGTACTTAGGTGATAGGCCATGCAAAATTTTAAAAGTTATCAAGAGTATCTTATAATGTATCCTGGAGCGCACTGGTAACCAATGTAATTCTGCGAGTAGAGGTGTTATATGACAGAACTTGTGCGCACGATATATAAGTCTTGCACTCGCATTCATAACACGTTGCAATTTCATAGACTGATATTCCGGGATTAGACTAACAATAGACGACTGTTTAACTGTGACAATAGACGGATCCAAACGCACCAATTACTGATTACGAGTCTTCATAGCCAATAACATCACGGCTTTTTTTTATTATTATTTAATTTATTATTTAAGCTAAATTTACATCGCAAAAAACGTGTACATATTACAACTTTACGAAACAAACATAAAAATAGCTGAGGTTACATTTACGCTTGAATTCGCTTAGCTACTTACAATAAAAGGAAAGGACCGTGAACGGTGGACGGTGGCTGGCTCAACTTTGCAGGACACATGGCTAAGTCAAAGCGATTAGCTAGAGGGTACCAAGTGCAAGCAACAAATTTAAATAAGAAAAAATTTCCATTTGTTTGAAAAGACGGTGAAAGAATTACTACAATATTCTAACCAATTTAACTCCTGAAAATTTGATTTCGTGGCATCATATCCGAGGAGGTTCCCACCCTCATCTAATAGATGAGAAATTTTGCAGACACCATGATCCATCCAGTGTTTACGGAATACAGGCTGACTGTCAGTTCTTATCAATGAATTAAGCCAGATAATCTGATCGCCAACATTTGAAATGGAGATGGCTACAGCATCAGAGAAATGCAATTCCGCCCAGATTGACATGACCTCACATACAAAAGGATTACGTATTTTTAACAGTGGAATGTCATCTTTGTGTAGATTACAAGAGAAAATAAATTTCCCACCATACATTTTAAGATTGTCATCGAAAAAAAACTTTCACCTTCCATTATTTGTCGAGTCAAAGTACTTCTTGATCCAGGATGCTTTGAGAGACTTATTGAACGTATATATATCAATCATCCTCAAACCACCCTGCTCATAATCCCTTATAATATGCTCTCTTTTTATCTTGTCGCCTTTACCGTCCCAAAGGAACTCAAAAAGACGTTTGTTGACCATTTGCAGTGCGTTTGTATAAGTAGGGAGCGGAGTCAAAATATAAATGAGTTGGGAGACTTTTGATAAGAGTGATTTTTCCCAATAAGGTAAGTCTCCGAAATTGCCATATTTCAATAACGTTTTTTATTTTCCCAATCCTCTCATCGTAGTTAGAACGGAGCATTACGTTTCTGTCCGTTGCGAACCACACACCTAATGCAAAGACGTTCCCCTCCACCCAGGAGATATCAGACTTGTTGCACTCTATAGGGCCTCTGTTTTTTTGCCGAACCCACCAAGAGCACTTTGGTTTTGTCATAATTTACCTTAAGGCCAGAAGTCACTTGAAACCCATCTAGAACCTCGATTGCTCTACGAAAAGAGCCCTCTGAGCCATCGAGTATCAACGTCGTGTCATCAGCAAATTGGCTTAGCTTGTGTTCGACTTCACCCGTCATAAAACCTTTTACGTCTTTATCTCTCCTAATGAAGTTGGCTAATATCTCGGCCGATATTATAAATAGATATGGCGACATCGGGCAACCTTGCCTGACCCCTCTACCTAAAGAAAAGCTCTCCGAGACCCATCCATTGTTCTGGATAGCACTGGATACCTGATTATAAAATAATCTGAACCAGTTTACTAGAGAGGGCCCAAAATTGAAATAGTTAAGGGCTCTTTTTATAAAAGCCCACTCTATCGAGTCAAATGCCTTCTCAAAGTCAATGAACATCAATAAACCAGGTTTATTCATATTACCTGCGTAATTTATAAAACCGTCAATTAGAAAAATATTTTCTGCAATAGAGCGTCCCTTCAAGAAGCCACTTTGATCACCATTGATAATTTTAGGTAGAACCCGCTTTATTCGATTACCTATCGCTTTAGACGTGATTTTATAATCACAGTTTAGAAGAGAAATTGGCCTCCAATTTTTTAGAAAAAGAGGGTTTTTGTCCTTCTTTGGTAAAAGAGAAATAATACCTTGTCGCTGCGTCACCGATAGCAGCCCTTTTTGAAAAAAGAGCAGTTAATAGCATTCGCTAAAAAGGGGGCAAGGTCACTCCATAATACCTTATTAAAATTCTGCTGGAAACCCATCTGAGCCTGGCGACTTGTTTGCTTCCATCGTCTTGACAGCATTTAGACATTCATTCACATTTAAAAGACCTTCACAGGATGCTTTGGAATCCTCGTCGAGCCGCACAAAGTTGTCATCTGGGAAAGACCGGAGATTATCGCTTTCATTGTATATTGATCTGCTGCTGTATAGTTTACTATAAAAGTCAACACATTCTTGGAGAATATCATTATCGGATGTTAAAGTTGTGTTGTCAGCTCGATAAAGTTGACTTATAACTTTGCGCTTGAAGTGACGTTTTTCTAAGTTGAAAAAGTATTTTGATTTTTTTTCACCTTCGTTATACCAGCGGGTTTTGGACCGTAAGATAGTTCCCTGGGTTTTATATTCGTACATTTTTTCCAAGTTCTCTTTTGCCTCAATCAGTTTTTGCTCCAATTCCCCTTTTAAAATGGGGGACATCGTGCCATCTATTTTTTTCTCTAGGTAGGTGATCGTGTCGTATTGTTTGGTTTCGTCCGTTTGCCTAGACTTAGCTTTTTCTTTTCCGTAAAAAATTGATGACTCTCTAACCTTAAGTTTAACCATCTCCCACGGCAAGGCATCATCCACATCCTTGTCGTCTTTGTAGTCATCACATGTTTTAAGGATGACTTTCTTGATGAATTTTAAATATTCTTCGTCTATCAGGAAAGCGGTGTTAAGTTTCCATAGACCAGGGCCTCTGATGTTTTCGGTAAGACCCAAACTGAGGCTTATCATAGAGTGGTCGGTTTTGTACCCAGCTACGATATCAGACTTAGCCACTTTACCATAGAGATGACGAGTTAAAAGAAAAAAGTCAAGTCGGCAGGATATAGATGGATTACGCCTTCTCCATGTAAATCTCTTGTCGAGGGGATTTTGGTCACGCCAGATATCGCCTAGGTCAAGGTTAATTTGAATTTTTTCTACTTCGGTGAGCGCTTTCGGGTGCGAGGTGCCGAGAATGCCACCTCCCTTGTCCAATTTAGCATTTTTAATCAAGTTAAAATCTCCACCCAAGATGATGTTGTCGCAATCAAATTCGAGTATTCGGTTTTTAACATTTTGGAAGAAATGGGGGTCGTCCTTATTTGGAGCGTAAAGATTAAGAAACGGTCCAGATAAGAACGATAGCAACAACGGCAACGAACACGTTGGAATGCAAAACAGGTGCTAACTTTTCTATTGTCTGTACTTACTTCTGATTGGCTCAAACAACAAAAGTTAACAAAACTTCATAAAGCGGTACATATATTCATCCTTACTTTCCAACCATCTTTCATATAACAAAATCTGGTCTCAGTTTGAATAACAAAGAAATCCTATGTGGGGAACATGTAAAATTGTAAACTTTTCTTGGCTATTGTTTTAAACTCTTGTGATTGGTCAAAATCTTTTAACACAAAAAAACACCCTTTCAAAGTGAGTGTAAATGCATTTTATTACGTAAACGGCCTTCATGTAGGTTTATGCATTCTCTGCGTAAAAATGAGAACATTCCTATGTGGGGAAAGCACCGTTGCCGCATAACAAAAGAAATTGGTACTCACCTTAGCCAGATCATTACTTAACAAGCGTAAAACATAAGTCTGCCGTCTTAATGTCTAAAATGATAAAACGACCATCTGGGTCCGCGTAATCCTTGTTTAAAACGAAATCGAAATTATTTTTAAACAAAATGGTCACACCCGCCCTTCGACTATTTTCACAGCTAAAAAAAGCTTTGTAACCCCATTCATTTTGCCATAAATCACAGGTTTCCTTCATACAGTGCACCTCTTGTAAAAAAAAAATATGGAAATTTTTCTCCCTGAGCCAATTAAACATTTCTCTTCGTTTAGCTTGCCCTGATAAGCCTCTAACTTTCCATGAACATATATTTAAGAATTATAATGGTGAAAACCAATTATTATTATTCTGCAAACCATCCACCGTAACAAATATCTATAAAGCCAAGCAAGGATGTAACTAACGAAAACTATACAGACGGTACACACGATAAAAGAAAAAAAAAAGAAAAACCTATTGCTGCGACTTCTACAAACGGACATTATACTACTACAGAGAGAGCATAAACAATACACTACTAGCATACACGGGCTCTTTCACTAGGAATGGAAAGTTATGAGCTGGTGCGAAATAAGACCTTTAGGTAGTGCTCCTAATTGTTTGTACGATCCGGACGACTATTTGGTCGGAGCTCCGCCATAAACACATTTTTGATGATGCAAAGCGATTACTCCTACTTTCTAGTTCCCTTAGTAACCACCATTACCCTTGAGCTTTAAATCATAAAACTTCAGCAAGTTAATTTTACAAATTGCAGCCAACAAAGACAAAAGAAAAGGCGTAGACCCATTGTAAAAAGCGTGCACTAGGTGACACAAGGCACTACAAAATACTATGAAAATTACCACAGCAAAAATTTCCATATTAGCCTACATGAATATTGGAAGAAAGAAGGAAAAAACAGTACTAAATTAATTTCGAGGAACGTAGTTACCGTCAATGAATAATTTGTCCGGATACTTTCTGCTGAAATAGGCTGTGCTGCCATTATGTTTTGCGTTTTGAAGCTTCTTCATTTGGGCCTTTCTTAGCTGATAAAGTTCCTTCGGCATGTCCTCAAAAACACCATAATCTTTCCCTTTGAGTGAAGTCTTTGCACGTAGTAGGACTTCTTCCCGATCGGAATATCGGAGAAATCTTGCAATCATAGGACGGGCCTTCTTACCTGATCTTTTCCCCACTCGATGAATCCGCTGAAATTCGAATCTACTTACGGCATTCTCCAAGCTAAGCTCTTTCTGCAGCAAATTATAAATAACCTCTTTTGTATTCTCCACGTTATTATTCTCTGTCTCGCTTTCGGTGTCGATCGGCACATCATTTTCCTGGATTCCAAGAAACATAAGATTCTCCCTTCTACTGTAATGTTCCTGGTATAGGAGTTGCATTTTAAGCTCTTCGGCTTCATGCTGGACTTTTTTAAGATCTTTTGCATATCACTTATGTCCACCTCACGGAACTCAACACTCTTTTCAAGATCGTCTACCTTCGTCCACGTTTTTTCCGTCTTGTCTTTCAGGTTCTGTACGTCCCTCTCCAAAAAGGCAAACGATTCTTGGAGAGATGCTATTGATTTGTGTAAATTATCCAGACGCGCTTCAATATTGTCTAGCTTTTGCAATTTGTTTAATATCATGTCCACTTTCTTCCCAAGATCGTCAGCCATTGACGGCAGTGTTAGTACCTCGTCCTCTGCTTCGCTTGTGCTCGTAGAACGATTGGCTTCTTTACTTTTTTTTTCCTCGAGCGAAAAGGCGTCCGAGGAAGAAGATTTGGGTCTATCTTTCCTTTTTGGAGGCATCGAATTGCAAAGAATAACACGCCAAAAGGCGGAGCACCGAAGTACACGTCCTTACACCTCGACCATTCCCAGCATTCTCCCTGACATACGACCAATAACATCGCGACTTAATTGACCAATCAGATCAATAACCAGAGTATAATACCATCAACAGACGTGATACAACTCACTTTGACTCTGAAGATGACTACCGCACAGGTTGTCGAAACGTCAGTCACTGTCAACAACAACAGTCCTATTCAGGACTACGTTCACCCGGACGATCAAACTCAACCTACTTTTGAAATGACTCCTGGGTTCAAACCTTTCACAAGAATTAGTCCGATTTAAACTATTTTTAATGCATGTACTTAGGTTTTTTTAGGTTTTTTGTTTCCAGAAAATAGTTTCTTAAAAAGTTTTCCCAAAATTACGATGTTTTTAGATTTTTCTTAATATTTGTATATGCATAATTCGCTTTTTATCTTGTTTTGTATTTTTTAGTTTGTCGAGCGTTTTTAACATGAGCCTCTGGCTCGGAAGATTGTGCAAACACTCCCCACGTCTTCGACATTAAATAACTCATTCCATTCCAATCCATTTATGCCGATAAAAATCATCGTCCTTTTTTTGAGTGTAAAATCCCTGAAAGAGTTCTCCTCACTGGAGCAATATCAATATGCAGAAGGTTTTCAAAGGCTTCACACCGGTGTGAAGCTAGGATGTGCGGCCTGTCTCTCCTTGCAATTTTTACGTTTTGAGTATTTACTTTATGACTTATAACACTCGTTTTGTATTCCAAAGGAAAAAGTAGCATAATAGCACCAGCGTCTTTGACAACGAAACTTATCCCCATGCAAAACCCACGGCTACTAAGAGCGTTGTTGTTAATGAAAAGAGAAAAGGCAAATTCCCTAGAGAACATCACGTGGTCTGTATTGGGAAAAGAAAACATACAAGCTAAAAAAGTCTATAGAAACATTCGACACAGTAGTGTTTCATCACAAAGCAGTCAAACACCTAAGAGTTCGACCTTCAAAAATACGCTGCTGCAAGTCGTATTTTCAGTTCTCTTCTCCGTGTTTGATCTTGTAAAGAAACACTGTGTCTATCATGCTTGATATATTACGTAAAACATGTAAATGGACGTACCTCCGGATTTAACTAAATTCAGGATTGATCCATTTCTTATTTGGTAGTCCCTCAAAATACGGCCGTGTACGAGTTTTATGCCATCATACATGAGACATTGATGATCGGATGGGATCGCTACTCTAGCTTGGATTTTGTCGATTACAATTCTGACTTTGTCCTCTGGGCAGACATCTACACTGATGTCATCTTTGTTTGGCATTTTAACATTTATACTTATCAGTAATACATTACAGTCCAAGACTGATCCGTTTTTAATGCTGTAATCACTCAACGTGTACTTATCTTCTAGAAGCCGACGAAGATAATGGAGGCGTTGCATGTCGCATGGGATATCTTGGCTGAGCTGAATTCTCTCTTTTACATTTTTGATAGTGTTACTTTTAATGAGCTTGAACCTCACGTCTATTCCAGTTGACATCTTAACAAAGATTTCAACTGCTAAATATAAGAACAGTGTTGATTTGTTCTCAATGTTGTAGTAATTCAAAGAATGGACGTCGTCGAGAAGTTCACCATTAAACTGCAAAATTTGGCGGTACGGTGAAATTTTTATTTTGGCATGAATTTTTTCCTTGACACTTTCGACAGTATCCTTTGGCCTCAGTTCCAAGGCCATCCTTTCTTGCGTTGAAGAAAAAACCAAACACACTTCTATTTTTTCGACCAAATAAATAACTGAATCATTTCGGATATTGTAGTCAGAAATAATGCGTGTATTTTCTAGTTCTCTGTCAGCAAAGTTGAGAATTTGTTTGTGAGGAGGAACACCTGTCATGTCTCGTATTTTCAGCTTGACCTCTAAAATGGATTCAGTGGGTCTCACTGCTAGGGTATACGTAGCTTCTGGTCCCCTGGCTTCTGTTAAGATTGTGACTTCCATACGATTATGACCGTTAACTCGGAATACCAAATTGAGGGTTGATTTATTCGGAATGTTGTAGTCACTGACAGTTCGGTCGTCTTCCAATTCTCTTCCATTATAGACGATACCTTGCTCGTCCACTGGAAATCCTTTCTTGGCGTTTATTATGCTCTTCAAATTTGCAATAGAATCATCAGGATCTACAGCTAACGTGATAGTCTGATTAGTCTCCTGATACACGACTTTTAGAAATATTTCCAAATGACCACACTCAGTTAATAACCAGTCTCTGTGAAATGAGCACAGAGCTGATCGATACGGAAAAGTGCAGAAGCAAAGGCGGCCTCCTTTACAAAACAGATGACCTTCAGATGAAGGACATTTTTTCTCTTTTTCAATTTTCTTCATTACAATCGGGGTTAAATCTAAGTTCTCTTAAAGGTCTGCGTCCCTAAAGGCCTCAGCATGAGAGACGATAGATCCTTGACTTAGTGCTCCGGTCTTGCTGGCTTGAATCAGATGGTACTGGCACAGTTGCATGCAATTAACCTTTAAAAATTGAGAGAAAACGCCAAAAAATTTACATAGGGAATCTATAAAACGCAAGGTTACATCACACTGAAAAGCCTTTTTGTTTTGTTTCATCCGCTATTTTCACGACACGCTATCCATTTTCACAAGAAACCAACTCGTAAGAAAGTTTGCAATAAACTTTCATCTGGGAGTTTTAAGGTGGCTCGACTGGATTTTTTGGGGTTGATACCTCCCAAGTTTGAGCATTAACTACGTCGGCATGAGTAAAGATATCGAAAAAAGGTTACCATAACTGTATTATATAAAGATGAAAATTTTTTATGATCTGGGTTTTATTGCAATCGGAGTCGCCATGGCAACGTAATGACGCCATTACGTTTTTCATTTATCCTTGTGTTTCTCTGTACCAGGAGATTTTTGAAGAAATCGCTTGAGGGAGTATGTACCTGCCATAATTGCCTCCATTATGGCAAAGTTTGAAGAAATTCTATGAGAGCGTTTTCGAAATATTTTGAAATGCAGTTTTAAGAATCATAAAAACAGTGAATTAGTATGCTAGCCGCTCAATTCGCTAATATTTAAAGAAAATAATAAGCTCTGGGAACGCGGCTTCATCTCATAGTGGATTGATTCCATTGAAAACTGCATACAAAAACAGAGGGAAATTGCTCTGGGCGATCGCGAGTAAGAAGGATTTTATTAACTTGCATTCAGATGCTTTTGATACAGTTTTTGGAGGTAATTTGGTCCATGCCTAAGAATTTCGCATTTTTCCAAAAACCGCTCGATAATTTTTTTTATAAATTCGACAATCCCGAGATCAATTGTCAAGAAATATTCCTGCAAGTTTCAAGAACATTGAAAACAGGAAGGCTTTTAAATAGGGACTCAAACATAACCAATTTTCTCCCCAGATTTTGTGTTTACAAGTGAGCGTCCTCATTATTCACTGGCATTGTTTTCAAGTTTCATATGCACGTGCACAACTAGCAAAAAAGATATAAATTTGCATCAAAAGAACTCTCGATTACTTTCCGAAGAAATATCCGGTATATGCTAATAATTGGCTTGTCGTCACAGATAGCAGTGAGAGCCGAAACGGTGAACGTCACGGCTCATCGTGTAGGATGCAATACTTAATTATCTTACTCGGGTTATAACATCACAGAAACTCTCACAAAGAGTTGCTCTGATGTTATAATGTATCACTAACCTCTTTACCCGGTAATTAGCATATCCCGGAGATTTAACCGAGGGTCCTTTTTGATGCAAATTCTATCTTTTTGCTAAATGTGCACGTGTATATGAAACTTGAAAACAATGCCAGTGAATAATGAGGACGCTCGCTTGTAAACACAAAATCTGGGGGGAAAATTGGCTATATTTGAGGCCCTATTTAAAAGCCTTCCCTGTTTTCAATGTTCTCAAAACTTGCAGGGAATATTTCTTGACAATTGATCTCGGGATTGTCGAATTTATAAAAAAATTTATCGAGCGGTTTTTGGAAAAATGCGAATTTTTTAGGCATGGACCAAATTACCTCCAAAAACTGTATCAAAAGCATCTGAATGCAAGTTAATAAAATCCTTCTTACTCGCGATCGCCCAGAGCAATTTCCCTCTGTTTTTGTATGCAGTTTTCAATGGAATCAATCCACTATGAGATGAAGCCGCGTTCCCAGAGCTTATTATTTTCTTTAAATATTAGCGAATTGAGCGGCTAGCATACTAATTCACTGTTTTTATGATTCTTAAAACTGCATTTCAAAATATTTCGAAAACGCTCTCATAGAATTTCTTCAAACTTTGCCATAATGGAGGCCATTATGGCAGGTACATACTCCCTCAAGCGATTTCTTCAAAAATCTCCTGGTACAGAGAAACACAAGGATAAATGAAAAACGTAATGGCGTCATTACGTTGCCATGGCGACTCCGATTGCAATAAAACCCAGATCATAAAAAATTTTCATCTTTATGTAATACAGTTGTGGTAACCTTTTTTCCATATCTTTACTCATGCCGACGTAGTTAAGGCTCAAACTTGGGAGGTATCCCCCTAAAAAAATCCAGTCGAGCCACCTTAAGCTCTAATATAATTTGATAAATAGATAACCCTTTTAAAAGACAACAAAACGTTGCTATCTGACGTTTTCATTTTATGTTTGTAATAAAACTCCCTTTCTGACTGCAGGAAGTCCTTTTTTATTATTATTCCAGCTCAAATCAGTCTTCAAATCAGTCAAGGCGTTTAGCAAATTGCACCAGTTTGTTATAAATATATGAAAGGAATAGAGGAGAGGAACATAACTGTAAATCATACCATAAAGATAGAGAGGAGAGGGAACTGCACGTTCTTGCGGTTTCTGGACCGTAACAAGTAAACGAAGCATCGCGCAAACTGGGTCGAGTGTTCCTCTGCATCGGAGCCAGTAGCGCTCGTGAATACTCTGATTGTCTAAAACAGCGCTTGCGTATGCCCTTATTGTCTCGCCTTGACTGAGTTGACCCAGCTAGGCAAGCCACAATGTTTATATGGGTAAAGGAGGGGAACCCTACCATCACAAAAGGGTGGCCAGGGTAGACGGGTCACTCTTTTAGCCCAGCCAACTTTTTGTTTCTCGTGTAAACGGCTGGCCTCGTTTTTTATGGAAAAATTTGAAAAGTTGGCTCGTCCAGGGTAGCTTGGGTAGGTGGGTGACCCTTTTTTCCGAGGACAAATTTTCTCCATTTAAAAGTTACACCATTTGGACTTCATTTGGGGCAATCACCTCGTTCTTGGGATACGTATAGTGAGCAGGACAGCCTGAACCCTTTCCACGTATGAAATTGATCAGCTGAGTGAAGAAAAGCCGTCTAATGGACATCTTTGAAGCCTTACTAGAGACCTTACGATCGACGGCAACGGCAACGAGAACGTAAAAAAGCAATAATTAAGGGCCTGTTTACGTGGAGAAAGGAAGATCCTAGGTAGTACAACTTTACGTTGGGTTTACGTGCAGAAAATTGGGTCCGTGTAGTGCCCGAGTAGAGACGGGATCGAGAAGGAATTAACAAATATGCTATTTGTGATAACGCCAAAGGAAGTTCTCGGCCTTTAGTGCCGTGATGAGCCACAGATGTGCCCGCCGTCATTTTTGCATGGTCTATTTCAAATACTAGCGAAACCAGCAGTTTACATGATCTTAGGATCTTCTCATGCTAGGATCTTCCTACCTCTCAGCTAGGAAGATCCTAGTACTAGGAAGATGGTATTTCTTATTGTTTTAGGCTTAAAAACAATAAAAAATTGCAGTAGGCAAATACGACAGCTATACGCGTGTGTTGCAAATGAATCCACCCTTAGACTGCGGCGTGAAAGTGCCTGATTCACGTATCAAGAGGACGGAAACAAGCCACGACGAAATTGTCTAGTTTCTCGTTCTGATCTTGTATATGGTTCTTAGGAATTCAACTCCAAGAGACAAAGGAAGCGAGTTGTAATAATCGCGATGAAGATTGAAAGAATGCTTATTCACTTTTTAAGTGAGAATTTCGTTACCGCCGTCATCCTCGGATCTTGAGGTCCCTAGTCGTTTCCTTAAACCCCTCATTAGGGACCTTAAGATCCGACCACGGCGACGGCAACGGGAACGTCAAAAAAGCAATAGGTTAAGATTAGCAAAATAACAACATTGCACGTGCATCACGCTTTTTTGTACATTTCTTTACCGTCACTGCACGACTACGACATGAAAATACCTAATTTCACTTCTTCTGGAGGACGTAAACAAGCTACTGCGAAATTTACTTTCTCATTCTGAACTTAGATATGGTTTTTAGGAATTTAACTCCAAGAGAGTTCGCCTACATTTGACAAAGTAAGTAAGTTGGAACTGTCGCGATGAAGACTGAATGAACGCGAGTTCACTTTTTAAGCGACGTTTTCGCTTCCGTCGCCGTCCTCGGATCTTAAGGTCCCTACTGCTGGTATAAGGATGCGACGCTTAGTCTGAAACTCGAGTAGCCCAGCAAAGCTCTCGTCATCGACACTTTGTTACAAAATAGGCGACTAATCCGTTAAAAGCGGAAATGTGAATCTTTTAGTTACCTCATTAGCGGACAACTGGAACTGAGGCTCGTCCAGGATTGCAGTCTGTGACCTCCTGTCGGCTTAAAAAATAGACAAAAAGTGAGAGTTCATGGCGCAAAACTCGCTTTTAAAACTTTCATCGTGATGATTAAAGAAAACATTATTTTTAAGAGGTGAGGGATACCAAAAGGTTGCGCATTCGGCCCTCGTTTGGGAATAACCAGCTGAAGTTTGGTATTCTTTTAAGTAGGACGTCTATCACATTGATTCGCTGAAGGAAGACATAACAGTGAAACCGACCCTCTAGACCCAAACCATTTTTTAAAATCTCAGTTAAGGTGACTCGACCCAGTTTTTTTGGGGGGGTACCATCCTACTTTGAAGCTCTCTGGTATCCCCACCTTTACTTTTATCGTAAGTCTAACACATAGAATGGATAACATATAGATCAATCTACAACATAACAGAAAATTTTGGGCGATCGGAGTAAATGTCACGTGGTTATAATGCCACGCCCCTTTGAGGTCTGAGTCGAAAATCTGCTGTTACCGGCATTTTTTCGTGAAAATCTCTCGGCTACACATAGTGCGCATTAGTGCCTTTCCCTGAACAGAGTTTCGCTAAAATCGCAAAGACCCAATTCGAGAAATTCAGCAGTTTCTGAATTTAGGTCATAATTTATGCGAAAATGATAAGCAAACTTTACACGATTATATCTAATAGACTATGAGATTCATCCCTTTCTTTTGGGCATCGTTATAACAGATGGGTCCTTGCAAGTCAGCAAAACGTTTTAGGGCCTTG